AGGTCCACTCTGCTTTCTAAGATCTACACACAAAACTGGAGTGTGAACGTGTGAGAGTAGCAAAAGGAATATAAAGCAGTAGTCAGGTTTGAACTGTTGCCTCATCAGTCAAACCTGTGAAGAGATGAAGATCAAATCGCCTGAAGGAATAACCAGGTGAAGTCAAGTGTGCCGAGAGAAGAGTGGAGAAACACATTTTACAGGCATCTTCCTCCCCCCACTGTAATTAACATTCACCCCTTCACCCCATCACACACCCGTAGCCCTCATCACGAAGAGGGCCACTCAGTAAAACAATTCATGTTATTGCAGTTAATGACATGTAGATACCACAAGTTAACCAGTAACTATTAAAAAAAAGCAGTTTTGTGTATCAAAAACAGGCAAGGTCCTTTTTTTTTGTAGGAGGGAAAATGAATATGAACACAGATGCCACAGCTGTCTTGCTCACGAGCTCTGAGCATTTCCTGTCATCCAGTCCTATAAATAACGCCAAATTTTTGTGCTTTTTGATGTTTCACTGAAAGAAATGCTAAAACTTTCCACAGACGAGAACTTGTTTTACCGTTACGAATGTCTTTAATTTGGTATACTAAAAAGTAGTCCCAAGCTAACACTGTCATATACCAGCTAAAGAAGAAGATTCATATTTTATTTATCATTAAATATTTGATCTGATATTCGGTCCGAGAGCTCCAACATGCTCTAGAAAGACTCCGGAAACCCATGTGACCTATACCTGAACTGTAGCTACAGAAACCTACAGAGTTGCTTTAGGTGGGACTTGTTTTGTTTAAAGAGTCCCACAGAATAAAGACAGACTGCAGGAGTGAGAGAAAGACCTACACTGGCTCATCTGCAGCTCTCTTTTCAAGTCAGACTTTGACGGGACAGTAGAAACGTTAAAGTGATGAGTAATCCTCTTGCTCTTTACAGCAGAGTGTCACAAAGAAGCAGCTGCCGGACTGTAACATTATTTTAAGCATTAACTGTTTCAGCACATGTATCATAAACACAGTTTTAACGTTTGTAACAACCCGAACTGCTCGAAAATCTGTTGAAAATTCAGCGAGGTACAACGATCCGTGATCGTGTGCAGATGTGTGCTCCCCCCGAGCAACGTGGTGCCGCGTGGCGTCATTACAGTGAGGAGGAACAACCAGTGTGGCATCTGTGTGTATATATCTATGAGGAAAAAACCCCTCCCGCCTTTATTTTTTGCCGTTGTTGTCAGCTGCACTGTGTAACCATGGCAACAGCACCCAATGACTCTTGGCAAAGTTGAACATTTCTGGAGTCTGATCTGTGCGAAGTCATCGATGCTCATCAACCAAACAGAACACGTTTAAAAAAAAGAAAATGAAATGTTCATTTGACTCACGATCGCTCGTCTATTACAGTGGTGACTAAGTGATGCTTACAAAGGCTAAAATGGTATTATTTATTGACACATGGCTCTTAAAATGGCTATATCTTAAATCTTAAATAAGAGATCCGTAAACCCAATCGCCGCGTGAGCATGCGGTAGGCCGCCATGCCACTTCACCCATCAAGTGTCTCCAAAACACAAACAAACCAACACTAGCACTTGTACAGTATCGATGTGGTCTACTGGCGCGCCGTCAAATGATAAATCAC